CATCCCCACACCAGCCTGCTCCCTGGCAGCTCCCCCCCATCCACTAACCCCTCATTTTTGTCCTCACTCCAGAGCCCAGGAGACCCCACAAAATCGACTACCTCCCATCCTCCTAAGGCCTGAGGGTGCAGCTTCAGGGAAGTGAGGTGAATGGGTTTTTTTCCTGCTTCTTCATTGGGGACCACATCTGTGTGGGGTTTCATCCCCACACCAGCCTGCTCCCTGGCAGCTCCCCCCCATCCACTAACCCCTCATTTTTGTCCTCACTCCAGAGCCCAGGAGACCCCACAAAATCGACTACCTCCCATCCTCCTAAGGCCTGAGGGTGCAGCTTCAGGGAAGTGAGGTGAATGGGTTTTTTTCCTGCTTCTTCATTGGGGACCACATCTGTGTGGGGTTTTTTTCCCCTCTCCTCACTTGGAGGCCAAGTCAGGGAGGATTGCTTTTATTTTTGCTTCTCCTCTGAGCGTGGCCCCTGATTTTTCTCTGGCTCAGTGGTTCCCCAACTCAAAAAAGGTTCCAGTTGATAAAATCCCCTAGGGAAGATGCCGGCACTGCTGTAAAGACAAACACATGACAAAGCTGGGGCCAAACCCAGAACAATGACTCCATCAGGGCCCTTGTGAGATTAGATGCAAAATCATTTGGTTAGTCATCTACAGAGTAGCCTTAGGAAGACCAAGCAGTGGTTATGGGACAACACCTTGATCTGAAGGCACAAACAAACTGGTTAAGGCCGAGTTTAACAGACTGGTAGGAATCGTTAAAAAAGGGATAGAGAATAAAACAGAAAATATCTTATTGCCTCTATATAAAACCATGGTACTCCCATATCTTGAATACTGCATGCAGATATTGTTGCCTCATCTCAAAAAAGATATAGTGGCATTGGAAAAGGTCCAGAAAAGGGCAACAAAAATGATTAGGGGTTTGGAACAGAGAGATTAAAAAGACTGGGACTTTTCAACTCAGAAAAGGGGAAACGAAGGTGGAAGGGGGGGATATGATAGAGGTTTATAAACGCATGACAGGTGTGGAGAAAGTGAATATGGAAAAGTTATTTACTTGTTCCCATCACATAAGAACTAGGGCTACGTCTACACTGGCCCCTTTTCCGAAAGGGGCATGCTAATTTTCAACTTCAGAATAGGGAAATCCACGGGGGATTTAAATATCCCCCGGGGGATTTAAATAAACATGTCCGCCACTTTTTTCCCGTCTTGGGGAAAAGCCGGAAAAAAGCATCTAGACTGGCCCGATCCTCCGGAATAAAGCCCTATTCCAGAGGATCTCTTATTCCTACTTTGAAGTACTTTGAAGTAGGAATAAGAGATCCTCCGGAATAGGGCTTTATTCCGGAGGATCGGGCCAGTCTAGACGCTTTTTTCCGGCTTTTCCCCAAGCCGGAAAAAAGCGGCGGACATCTTTATTTAAATCCCGCGGGGGATATTTAAATCCCCCGTGGATTTCCCTATTCTGAAGTTGAAAATTAGCATGCCCCTTTCGGAAAAGGGGCCAGTGTAGCCGTAGCCTAGGAGTCACCCAATGAAATGAACAGGTAATAGGTTTAAAACAAACAGAAGGAAGATTTTCTTCATGCAGCACTAGTCAACCTGTAGAACTCCTTGCCAGAGGATGTTGCGAAGATCAGGACTTCACTAGGGTTCAAAAGGGAACTAGAAAAAATCATAGAGGTTAAGTCTATCAATGGCTATTAGCCAGGATGGGTAAGAATGGTGACCTCAGCCTTTATTTGAGACACTGAAAATGGATGACAGGAGAGGGATCACTTGATTCCGTTCTGTTCACTCCCTCTGGGGCACTTGGTATTGACCACTGTCCGTAGACAGGACACTGGGCTAGATGGACCTTTGGTCTGACTCACTATGGCCGTTCTTATGTTCTTTGCGTTGTAGACAGGAGATTCCCAGGCTCATCTACCAGGCTATAGCTCACATCTCCTCTTTACCCCCTGCTCGGCTGACATCTCTCATAGTTCTCTTTAGATCCCTGCAGAGAGGCACCTGGAAAAGAATTGACCATCCCCAAGCCTCCTGTTCTGGGGGAAACCCAAGTGAGCACCAAAGCCTTAGGACTGGGAAGAAGTCAAGATCCTTTTTTCAGGTTGCTCTGTTTCAGTTTAATAACCCACGGCCGGTCCATGGGGGCAAGGGGCCATTTCAGATTTTGGTAGGAGGAGGGCAAGTGGTGGGTGTGGTGATAGTAGGGAAGGGCAGAGTGAGGGCAACAACTTCTGGACTACGTCTACACTGGCACCCTTTTCTGGAAATGCTTAAAACGGAACAGTTTTCCGTTATAAGTATTTCTGGAAAAAGCGCATCTACATTGGCAGGATGCTTTTCCGGAAAAGCACTTTTTCCGGAAAAGTGTCCATGGCCAATGTAGACACGCTTTTCCACAAAAAAGCCCCGATCGTCATTTTCGCGATTGGGGCTTTTTGCGGAAAAGACTACTGTGCTGTCTACACTGGCCGTATGCCTTTCCGGAAAAGAAATGACGATCTAATGTAAAATCATCATTGTTTTTCCGGAAAAACTATGCTGCTCCCGTTCGGGCAAAAGTCCTTTTCTGGAAAAACTGTTCCGGAAAAGGGCCAGTGTAGACAGCTGGCAAGTTATTCCGGAAAAACGACTGCTTTTCTGGAATAAGTGGCCAGTGTAGACACAGCCCTGCAGTGTTACTGAGCATGCTCAGTAGAAGCTAAGCAGTAAATCTGGAGGGGCGGGGGATGGAATGGGGGAACAAACTTGTCTCACAAATACCCCCCACGCCATCATCTCTTTCCAAGGGCTAGTAAGTCACATACAAACACTAGATATTTGGAAGATAAATCTAATTCCTATATACAAGAAAAAACATTAAACAAACATGAGATCCACTCCACTCTTAACACAAACAAGTGCTGATATCATGTGGCAAGTCACTTAAAGGTCACTGGGTGAGTTTTTAAAAATTAAATGTGTGTTCTTAGTTTCCTACTAACTCTGCAGAGACCCTCCCGGTCTGGACTCCTGGCTTCTCTCAGCTCTGAGAGGAGACAGGTGTCCAGTGGGTTACAGCAGAAGGTGGATACGTCTCCGTTCTACATAACAGCAGACTAGCCAAACTGGCTCATGATCATCTTCGTTTTCTTGAGCATCTAATGATCCTTAGTTAATCTTAATGACAATTCTTCTGTAAGTTTAATCACCCCACCTCTCTTCATCAATACACTTCCTGCCACAAAGGCTGTGCTGCTCCCAGCTTCTGAATTCATCACATACCACACGCTCAGGTTGTGTTGTAGTTAAAAGCCATGTGAGTTCGGGGGACAAGATACAGGGAGATCCAGAGCAGCCGCCGTGGGTCTCCTAAACAGTGCCATGATCTAAGCACTCATGGGGTCTCTCTCCAGTGTGTACTGCCCGATGTTCAATAAGGTCTGACCTATCGATGAAACATTTCTGGCAGTCCAAGCACGTATGGGGTCTGGCTCTTCTGTGGATGGCCTCATGTTTAACAAGGTCTGACCTATCGATGAAACTTTTCCCACAGTCTGAGCATGGATGAGGTCTGTCCCCAGTGTGGATGCCCTGATGTCTAACAAGGTCTGACCTGCGAGTGAAACTTTTTCCGCAGTGTAAGCACTCGTGGGTTCTCTTTCCAGAATGGGTCACCTGATGGGACAGAAGAGCAAATCTGTTTCTCAATCTTTTCCCACTTTCCAAGCATTTATGGGGTCCCTCTCCCGTGTGGATGGCCTGATCTGACGTGCGTACGAAACCTTTCCCACAGTGTAAGCACTTAGAGGGTCGCTCTCCTGCGTGAGCTGCTCGATGTTTAACGAGGCCTGAACTCCATCTGAAACTTTTCCCACAGTCCAAACATTTGTGGCGTCGTCGCTCTCCCATGTGGACTCTCTGATGGTCATTAAGGGACGCCTTCCGTGTGTAACCTTTCCCACAGTAAGAGCACTTATGGGGTAGCTCTCCTGTGTGAACTACCTTATGTTCAAGAAGGTATGACCTCCATCTGAAACTTTTCCCACAGTCCGAACACTTGTAGGGTCTCTCTCCTGTATGAATGACTTGATGTTTAATAAGGTCTGACCTCTGGATGAAACCTTTCCCACATTGTAAGCACTTATAAGGTTGCTTTCTTGTGTGAACTGCTTGATGTCTAACAAAGCCTGACCTCCATATGAAGCTTTTTCCACAGTCCAAACATTTGTGGGGTCGCTCTCCTGTGTGGACTCTCTGATGGTCACTAAGGACCGACTTCTGCATGAAACCTTTCCCACAGTAAGAGCACTTATAAGGTCGCTCTCCTGTGTGAACTGGTTGATGATTAAGAAGGTGTGACCTCCATCTGAAACTTTTCCCACAGTCTGAACATTTGTAGGGTTTCTCTCCTGTGTGGATGGCCTGATGTTTAATAAAATCCAACTTTTCTATGAAACCTTTCAAACAGTAAGAGCACTTATAGGGTGGCACTCTCGTGTTAATTATTTGATGTATAACAATGTTTGACCTCTGTACAAAACTTTCCTCACCCTCCACGCATTTCTGGGATTTTCCTCCTCTGTGAATTACCTGATGATCAACAAGATCTGACCTCCGTATGAAGCTTTTCTCACAGTCTAAGCACTTGTGGTGTCTCTCCTCTGCATGGATTGCCTGATGGGTAAGAAAGGCTGGTCTGTCTCTGAAATATTCCCCGCAATCCAAGCATTTAAAGAGTTTCTCTAATATGTGGGTGGACTGATGTTTAACAAGGTCTGACTTGTCAATGAAACTTTTCCCGCAATCCACACATTTAAAGAGTCTCTCTAATGTGTGGGTGGCCTGATGTTTAACAAGGTATGACTTGTCTATGAAACTTTTCCCGCACTTCAAACATTTAAAGAGTCTCTCTAATGTGTGGGTGGCCTGATGTTTAACAAGGTGTGACTTATCTATGAAACTTTTCCCACACTTCAAGCATTTAAAGAGTCTCTCTAATGTGTGCATGGCCTGATGTTTAATAAGGTGTGACTTGTCTATGAAACTTTTCCCACATTCCAAGCACTTATGCAGTCGCTCTTCTCTGTCGACTGCCGGATGTGAAATTAGGCCTGACTTCCAAATGAAACAGTTCCAGCACTGGAGGCACCTGTCGGGTTTCTCTCCTGTGTGGCTTCCTCCTGGGTTATTAAGATCTGAGTGATTACTGAAGATTTTCCCAGGGGCCAAGCACTGAAAGGGTTTCTCTCCAGAGTGGATGGTCTGGTGTGTGACAAGGTGGGATCTCTCACTGAAGCCCTTCCCACAATGAAGGCAGTAGTAGCATTTTTGTCCCGTTGGACTTTTTTCCTGATTTGGGGGAACCGCATCTTCTGCCCCCCATGGAATCGATTCATCCTCTTTCTTCTGTGGGTCATTTCCCAGCAGCCTCTCCGACCTGGGCCAGTTTCCCCAGGCTTCTCCCTCTTCCAAGCACTGAGTGACATTCCCTTCAGCTTTTCCCACAAATGTGCTCTGTGGTTCTCCCTGCTGTTGATGCCCCTCTTCATTCTCACTCACTGTCTCATCACCTGCTGGGAGAGAGAAACAGACACTCTAGATTAGGGATTTAAAATTCCATGGCTACCCAATTAAATGTGTTGTTTATCTGGTTCCTGACTGAAGGGGAAGCAGGCGGAGACAGGGACACTCCAGTGTGGCCGAAGCAGGCCCTGCCTACAGCACACATGGGAATGCTGTGGACAGGGGTTGTTCTAGCCCTCAATGGTTAACTGGAAAACCTTTCATGTCCCTAATCTAGACAGGAGTTATTGTGCAGAGGAGACAGAGGAGCAGCACCAAGGAAAGTCCAAAGGCAGTGAATTTGCATAGACTGAGCTACTGGATTCTGCCTCCAATTCCCACACAAACACTCACAAGGAAAGAAAAGTTGGGAAGGAAACTCCTGCAGCTGACAGGAGTGGTGGGAAATCGTAAGCGATTATCTACTGACTGCTGGAAAACCATAAGCGATTATCACCCTGCCCTGTGTGAAAGGAGGCAAAACACTTACTCACACTACATTATTGGGATTCTCAACTTTTTCCTTCATCCACCCGCTGGTTTCTGTGACAGTGCTCACCTGTGCAGGTGCCTCTCAGGATCTGTCTTTCCTCCCCGGCCTGGAGGTCAGGCACCCAGGGCTCTTCCCCTCGTTCCAGCTGGGCAATCAGCTCAGGTTTGGGAACGGGAAAGCCTGTGCAGGGGGTGAAATCAGAGCAGGTCAGGGCGCATGGAGGGTGGGGAGAGCGTCTGTCCCAAGGGACATTCCGTGAGTGGAACCTGTCCCCGGGCTCTGCTGGGGAATGTGCAATCCAAGACAACGGGAACATGGTCACTGAGCACCCTGGGGAGAGGCAGACGTGTGGGGAGGTGGGAGGAATTGTGACGCCCTCCCTAGTTCCCAGGATCTGGCTCCGCAGGTAAACCCCTGCCTATATCTAAACCTGCAGAGCTCAGAGCCTGCCCCATAGCTGGAGCTAGTTCCAAAAAAAGGTAAATCAGGATTGTGTGTGTGAATGGCAATCAATACAGACAGAACTGAAATGGAGGGGAGGAGAGAGTTTAGCATGACCATTATTTTTGACCGATTGGAAAGGGTACAAAGACACAAGTCGCTCTCCCCCAGCAGCTGTGCCCGTGGAACCCATTCCTGTCCAGGCCACCTGAGCAGGGAAGAACCTGACCCGTGTCGGACACGCAGACCCCACGGCTCCTAATCCCAGAGGGGTCGGGACGCCCTTACCCAGCGAGGTCACCGCCTCGTAGTTCTCCTGCATGACGTCCCTGTAGAGGGCTCTCTGAGCGGGGCCCAGCAGCGCCCCCTGCCCCGGGGTGAAATACACAGCCACCTCCTCGAAGGTCACCCGCATCTGCAACAACAAGAGTCCCTCACCCACTGCCTGATGGAAAAAAAATTACTTCAAGCTCTCTGACGGTGGCAGAGTAGCCAAATCCCACCCCAATGCTGACAGAGCAGCCAGGAGTCTTCAGGGGTGGGAGGAGATGAGAGCAAATTGTCCCTCCCAGCCCAGAGGAAGGCAGGGTCACATGCCTGCCTGCCACAGGCTGATACAGAGAGCAGACTTCTGAAACGGGTGGAGGACGGGAACCCAGGCAGCATCTCAGCAGCCTCTGGCCAGTGGGGTCAGATGCCGGATATGGGACCCTGCTCTGTTTTCCCAGCCTTGCCCAAGGGGTTGTGTCCTGTGTGAAAAATGAGGGGTCATGTGCCCCACCCCTACCTTGGCCCCTCAATGTGCCTGCTCATGAAATCTGCGGGTTTGTCCCACCCTGTCTCCTTCCTCCTCCTGCCCAACAGCTCCTGGAAACTCCCTACCTGAGCTGGCTCCATCCCGGCCATTGCCCGGCCCTGAGAAGACAGGATGATCTGAAGAGAAGCAAAACGTGGACCAGGTTCCTCAGCCTGTCAGTGCCAGGTGGTTGTCAGGCAGAGTGTGAAACCATTTCACACCCTGATTCCTCCCAGCATCTCTCCCTGCAGACAGAGCTCAGGAGTGCACTGTGGTGAGAAAAAAGATTAGCTGATTACCACCCTGGCAGGGACGCTCTCAGCAGGAGTAAACCCAGTGGGGAGGTTTTAAAACTCTTCTGGCAAGCCAAAAAAGAAACAGATTCGAAGCAGCCAGTATGGGTAGGAGGAGGAGGGGGTGGGGAATCAGAGAGCTGGAAGAGACCTCAGAAGGTCATCAAGTCCAGCCGCCTGCCCAAGGCAGGACCAATCCCAACTACATCAACCCAGCCAGGGCTTTGTCAAGTCGAGACTTAAAAACCTCTAGGGATGGAGATCCTACCTCCTCCCTAGGGAACCCATTCCAGTGCTTCACCACCCTTCTCGTGAAATAGTTGTTCCTAATATCCAACCTAGTCCTCCCCCACTACAACTTGAGACCATTGCTCCTTGTTCTGCCATCCGTCACTACTGAGAACAGCCTCTCTCCATCCTCTTTGGCACCTCCCTTCAGGAAGTTGAAGGCTGCTATCAAATCCCCCCTCACTCTTCACTTCTGCAGACTAAATAGACCCAAGTCCCTCAGCCTCTCTTCATAGGTCAGATACTCCAGTCCCCTAATCATTTTGGTCACTCTCCGCTGGACCCTCTCCAACGCATCCACATCCTTTCTATAGTGGGGGGCCCAGAACTGGACATAATACTCCAGATGTGGCCTCACCAGAGCCAAATAAAGGGGGTAACCCCCTCAAGCTCCCTCTTCCCCATAAGTATCAGGGTGTGTCAGCAGCGGCAGCAAGTGGCTTTTCCTCTCTAGGGTTGTCAGTAGGGTTGCCAGGTGTCCGGTATTCACCCAGACAGCCTGGTATTTTCGGCTCCTGTCTGGTAAAAAAAATTCAGAGAATACCGGACACCTGAGATGTCCGGTATTTTCTGAATTTTTCCCCGGCCAGGAGGTGAAAATGCCGGGTGCCTGGCAACCCTGCACACACTCAGCATCCGGCCTCCCCCCGGAGTCCTTCCCTTTCCCCCAACCCCATGTTTACCTGGTTCCCCAAGGCTGCCTGCACAAAATGGCTGCCGGCCAAAAGTACTAGGAGAAGCAAGACTTCCCTGGGTCTTAGTGATCAGTTACTCCCCTATTCCTATCCCTGCACTCACTCTTAAAGGGGACATGCTTTTTTTTGGGGGGGGGGGGGCTAGTAAGTCCTTGGAGTCTTTTTTCTCAACAACTTTGGTCTCCCCTTTTTTCCCCTCAACAGATTGTTTTCTCTGGTGTTTTTTCTTGGGGGAGAAGAGTCCTCATTTTTGTTCCAACCATCTGGCAACCCTAGTTGCCAGGTGTCCGATATTGACCTGGGCAGTTCGGTATTTTCGCCTCCTGTCCGGTAAAAACATTCCGGAAATCCCGGACACCTGAAACGTGTCACCTGGACACACTCAGCAACTGGGTCCAGCCTTATCTAGTTCTGTAGGGGATGCAGGGGAGCTGTCTGGCCCAGAACAGACACACACAACATGGCTACACCTGAAACGTCACCTGGACACACTCAGCAACTGGGTCCAGCCTTATCTAGTTCTGTAGGGGATGCAGGGGAGCTGTCTGGCCCAGAAGAGACACACACAACATGGCTGCCCGCCGATGGCAGCCCCTTAAAGGAGCCACGGTTTTTTAT